GAAGGCAATGACAGTGTAGGGGCTCATGGAACCTATTAGAAACAAAGACTCATATTCCCCAATTAATAAATGGTCAAATGATATGAACAGGCAGTTTTCAGATGAAGAAATTAAAGTTATCTATGAAAAAAATGCTCTAAATCACTATTGATTAGAGAAATACAAATTAAAACAACTCTGAGGTACCACATCACACCTATCAGATTGGCTAACATGACAAAACAGGAAAATGATAAATGATGGAGATGTGGGAAAACTGGAACACTAATGCATTGTTGGTGGAATTGTGAACTGATCCAACCATTTTGGAGAACAATTTGGAACTATGCCCAAAGGGCTATAAAATTGTGCATACCCTTTGACCCAGCAATACCATTTCTAAGTCTGTATCCCAAAGAAATCATAAAAATGGGAAAAGGACCCACATGTACAAAAATATTTATTGTAGATCTTTTTGTGGTGGCCAAGAATTGGAAATTGAAAAGATACCCATCAACTGTGGAACGGCTGAACAAGTTGTGGTATATGAATGTAATGGACTTATAGAACTATTGTTCTATAAGAAATGATGGGCAAGTGGATGTCAGAAAAACCTGGAAAGACTTACATGAACTGATGCTGAGTGAAGTGAGCAAAAACAGGAGAATATTGTACACAGTTAACAGCAACATTGTGCAATGACCAATTTTGATAGACTTAACTCTTTTTTTTTTTTTTGGCTTCGGCAGTTGGGGTTAAGTGACTTGCCCAGGGTCACACAGCTAGTAAGTGTCAAGTGTTTGGTCTGAGGCCAGATTTGAACTCAGGTCCTCCTGACTTCAGGCCAGTGCTCTATCCACTGTGCCACCTAGCTGCCCCTAGACTTAATCTTCTCAGCAAAACAAGGATCTAAGATAATTCCAAAACACTCATGATAGAAAATGCTATCTAAATCCAGAGAAAGAACTATGGAGTCTGAATGCATATTGAAGCATACTATTTTCTCTCTCTCTCTCTTTTTCTTTTTTGGTTTCTTCTTTCTCATGGTTTTTCCCTTTGGTTCTAATTCTTCTTTACAACATGACTAATGTGGAAATATGTGTAATATAATTATATATGTATAGCCTATATCAGATTGCATGATGTCATGGGGAGGGAAGAGCAGAAGGAGGGGGAGAAAATTTAGAACTCAAAATCGAACAGAAATGAATGCTGAAAACGAAAAACAAATAAAATTTAAAAAAAAAAGAAACAGAGACTCAGACAAGGACAGCCTCTGATGAAAAACCAACATTGTTCAATGCATTGAAGTGTTGAAGCGAAGCCCAATCTCTGACTTTGTTGGAGTCTCACCAAAGCTATTAGTCTAAGTCACAAGGATCCTGAGTAGGTGGGTAGGTGGAGGGAGGGGGTGCCTCTTGACTCACTAAGCTTACATATGAACTCTTTCTTTCTTTTGTAAATAAAATCATTCTCTCCAGAAGCCTTGTTAGTTCCAAGTCCTTGTAACAGGAATTGGTAGGATAACTAAAGTGTGTGTGCCAAATGCTCAAGTTCCCCAGCTTCCCTGTAGGTGGGGGCAAGAGACAAGAAGAGTGAAGTGTATCCAGCCCCTTCACGTCTGAAAGAAGCCTTGGAAAAAAGGGTCAAAAAAAAAAACTAACTGGGTTCAGTGTTTGAAGTATCAGACAGCACAAAGATTGGGGATGGGGAGAGTGAGAAGGAGGTGGCTTCAAACAACCAGACCAGTTATAACAACACAAGACTCATAAGAAGTGAGTGAAGTCCACATCAGTAGCACAGCAGAATTTTAACTGTTAGGTTAAAGACAGAGAGACTAATCGCCCTCTGACTGGATTGGAGAAAGCTGGTAGAGAGTAAGCCAAGATAAGGACTTAAGCCTCTCCAAGTGGTCAAACTGTTACTCTTCTTACTTAGCATACTCCAAGGATTTGGGTAAACTTAAACTCAGTACTACATTTTCCAGCAGCCCCTCCAAGTGGTAACAAGATCAGCTATTTAAATGCTGTGTTCTCTCGGAAGCTAGGAAAAGGGACAGTGAGATTAATCTGTGCTGTTTAGTTTTGAGTTACTTTTCCTCCACCCCACAGCTGTTTCTTCAGCTGTTTCTCTCTGGTCTTGAATTTGTGTCTTAAGCTGTTTTTGTTTGCTTGTCTGTTTGTTTCGGTTTTGTTGTTTTTTTTGTTTTGTTTTGTTTTTTATTTTTGCTAGGCCATGGGGTGAAGTGACTTGCCCAGGGTCACACAGCTAATAAGTGTCTAGTGTCTGAGGGCTGGCCCCCTTAAGCTGTTTTTATTCTCCTTTGGAGTAAGAGCATTACACACTCCCAACTTCTAATTAGGGTCAGTGACAGAGTTGTAAAGACCTAGTGGTGGCAGTAATTCCACACATCAGTCTGCCCCTGGTTGGCTACAGGTAGCCAGGAGCAGCAGTTAAAAGGAAGACTTTACTGGTCAGATTGCAATGGAAGCTGGTTGAAACGTTAAGCAACTGTCAGGACTACTAAAAAAAACAAAGAACAAAAAACAAAAAAAAACCCTAAAATTATTGTGCTCTTTATTGCTTACTTTTTAAATTTACAAAAACCTCATTGCATTATCTCCTGTGTGGTGATGGTGGTGCCCAGTCATTTTTTTCAGTCACGTCTGACTCTTCATGACCTCATTTAGAGTTTTCTTGGCAAAGATGCTGAAGCAGTTTGCCATTTCCTTCTCCAGCTCATTTTACAGATAAGGAAACTGAGGCAAACAGAGTGAAGTGACTTGCCCAGCATCGCAAGTGTCTGAGGCTAGATTTGAACTCAGAAAAATGAGTCTTCCTGACTCCAGGACCTGCACTCTAACCACTAAGCTACCTACATGCCCCAACATTTAAATATCATAAAGTAAATAAGACAACCTTCTCCCATCTACACATCTCTCCATTCTCTACAATCTCACAAAATAGAGACAGCTATGTGGCACAATAGGTAGAATGCTTGACCTGGAGTCCGAAGAGCAGAGTTAAAATCCTCCTTCTGACAATTAGTAGCTCTGCGACCCTGGGCAAGTCACTTAACTTCTTTGAATTTCAGTTTCCTCATCCATGAAATGTAGATAATCACAGCACCTACATCAGAGAGTTGTTGTAAAGATCAAAAAAGATAATATATAGAGTGCTCTGCAAACGTTAAAGCAATGCTATATACGAATACTGCTGATTCATTATTTATCTTTTGTAGGCCCCCTCCTCAAACCATCTTGAACCCCAACACCTGAGAAAAGCCTAAAACCTGGATTGGCCAATCAGGAGAGACATTTTGGCCCACTCTGGACTTAATCTACCATTATGCTTTGTGTGTTCTGGACATGCACTGTGTAGCTCTGTGAGTGAACCCAAAATGCCCCTTCCTGTGTCAACAGCTGAAGCTGAGGAAGAGCATTCTTCTGTTCATGACCACTAAGGTGCTTTGACCCAAACACTACTTTGAATACTGGGACTTTTCTTATCTTGGTATTTTATGGACATATGCTATGTTATGTTATGTTATTGTATATTAATGATAAAAGAAAAGAGATATACTGGATCTATAATTTCAACTGACACTTTCAACTTCTCCTATCTTATTGTATTTACAATCTATTCACTTAAGAAATTCCTTTCTCATATCATGGTTAAACATTTGGAGACTATAATTTTGGCTGACAAGCATCCTGAGCCAGGAAGGGAGGGAGGTGTGAGAGGGAATTGCTCTGAACATATAAAAATCTTCTTTGTCTGTCCATCCTTGGGTTCATTACCTTATGATGAGCTCCCATGCCTATGTCTATATGCATGTTCCACAAGCTTTGAGAGAAATAAACACTCATATTGCAGCCTAACTTCGTTTGTCTTTCTAAGAACAACTCAGCAAAGGCTGACACCTTTACATAGCCTGCTTCGTATATATCTGTTCAGAATGTTGATTCCTCCATTAGAATATAAGCTCTCTGAAGACAGGGACTATCTTTAGCCGCTTAGCACATAGTATGCACTTAATAAATGTTGATTCTTATCCTATGTATAAATGCTTTGCAAACCTTAATGGGTTATATAAAAAACTGCTATTATTATTAACCTATGTAGATTTCTTTGCAAACCTTAAATCCTAAACGGCTTTGCAAACCTTAAAAGACTATATAAACAGGTGCTATTAGTGTGTTTAGTACTGTGCCTGGCATACAGTAGGCCCTTAATAGATGTTTGCCGATTATCATATGTATCAATCACTTTGCAAACCTTAAAGCACATATAAATGCAATTATTATGTAAGTCGCTTTGCAAACCTCAGTTATAGAACCAACTAGCTTATTATTATCCTATATAGATCACTTTGCAAACCTGCTCTGCCCAAAAGGGATAAATATAAATCCCCTGGCAAACCTTAAATCTGTTCGTACGGATTAGCTATCATTATTTTGCCCATTCTGCCTGCTGTCTGAGATAAGGTCCTGCGGGCTTTCGGTCAATCTTGCATTATAGGAGACTGAGGCTGAGATGGTGCTTACTATTCCTCAACAGCAAGGCAGTTCTGGGACAAGCCGACTTGCCTGGCAAGGCTGCCCAGGAATCTGCTCTCTCTCTCGGTGCGGCGGACCGAGACTCTAGCCCCAGGAAGACTCGGAAGCACCCCTTCAGGAGCTGCGGTTTAGGTGTGATGAAGACACCGTGGAGGAAGGCTGGGCGAGGCGAGAAGTGCGGACAGAAGAGGAAAGGGGCGGGGACAAGCAACGACCGAGCTCTTTCTCACGTGGTTAACCGCGTAAGAGTGAAGACCAAGTCCGAGGAGAGGGCTGGGTTCAGACTGAGGTGGGGTCGGTCGGAATCACGGTGGCTGCCGCGGCCGCCACGCCCACTGGAGAAGGCGGGGGCCGGGGGGGAGGGGAAAGACCTTTCGCTAGGGACCTAGATTACACTGTCGGTTACCGGAGGAGGAGGAGGAGGAGAAGAAGGGGGAGGGGGAGGAGGAGGAGGGGGTCGGATCAGATCGCCCACTGCGTTCCTCCCCACGCCCGCCTCCTCAGGAACACCAATCCGCAAGCGACCGGAAGTGACGCGGTCGAGGCTTCGTGGGCTGGGGTTGGTGGTTTGCGCTGCAGAGCTCAGTCGGGGAAACCCAGCCCCGCAGCGGTTAGCTCTGTTGTCTGGGATCCGGCCGGTGCTGGGGCCGCAACCGAGACTGAGGCTGGGTCCAGCAGGGAGGAGAGAGGAGGGATGAGGCCCGGGCTCCCCCAGGCCTCCGAGGTAGACCTCCGCCTCCTTCTCCTCTTTGTCTTTATGTACCGGAGCTGGGCTGAGACCCCGACCCTGGAACCCGCCGCGTCCATAGGTAGGGGTCTTGGGGTTGGCCGTTGGGTGTGGCCGAGCGGGCGGAGCGGTGCCAGACTGACTCCCCGGGGGCTGGGGAAACTACCTCCGCTCTTCGTTCCCAATGAACCCTTGGCATCTAGGGATCCCTTCTTCGAGGCCGGAATTTCCAAACTCTTTGGCCACGAGTCACACCATCTCTTTTTGTGACTTCTGTGTTCCTGTGGGAGAAAATAATAAGGGGAAGGAGGGGGAGGACAGAAAGAGAGTGGGGCCGGGATGGACTCAGCCTGACAGCGAAAACAGCCCCAGACCCCGTTGAGGAAGTCATTTTTCTCCCATTTTTGTTTTTACACACACACACACACACACACACACCCTCCTCCCGCCTCCCCAAGAAAACCAATACACTTTGTCCGGTATCCTTTTGGAGGAGAGGTGGGTTTTTAATTTGGGAATGAAGGTTGTTCTGTTACAAGTTGCACTGTTGCAAGTTACACTGGAATTTATTTTAAAGTCTTGGAGAGTTTAACCAGTCTGCCCAGAAATGGCCAAAAGGAAGTCCAAGGATTGCACTTAATTGTAGTGGATTGAAGGTGTGGAGAGACTTGACTACTTTTACATATAGAAGTTATCGGTGCCCTCGACCCTTCCTTACTAACACCCATGTTGTAGTGTGTGTGTGTGTGTGTATTGGAGTCTTTGGAGTCATTAGGCTTCTTCACCCTTTCGATTGTATGTACTTCACTTGAAGATTTGACTACTGTGACAAAAAGGTTTTTTCTTCTTTTTCTCAAGTATGTGTTTATAATTTTCTAAAGTTATGGATTCCGATTTGTTACATTGCGTTGTTTTGCATTGTTATAGCTCACAGTTATTTTCTTGGAGAATAGATGCTTCAGATAGACTTTTTAATTGATTGTCGTTTATTGTACAGCCTGGATTACGAGAAGTGAAGAGTTGAATTGACTCTCCAAAGTAGTGAAAGTTCTAACATCTTTCTCCTTTGACAGGTCAGAAGTTTTTCTCTTGTTTCTCCTCTTTCTCTTCCGTTCTGTACTGTGATTTCCATCGTCACTTTTCCAAAATGTGAGACTTGGGAACTAGAGATTCAGTTGGTATAATCATTTAAAAGGTTACCTTTAAAGTAAAAGTCTTCAGATGGGAGGAGGAGTAGGAAATATTATGGTTTTAGGTAAAAAGTATTCTTAAGAGCCAAGAATCCTTGTGATTTTTCTTGAGGTATTTTGGAGGCTTTTAGAAGGACTTTTGTCGATTTGTTCCCTCATTTCTAACCAGGGGTAGGGGAATGGAGAAAGCTTTTGGGAGTATCTGGTTGTTAATGAACGTCATAATCCTGCTGCTAGTGAAGAGGGGGAAGTGCATGGTGAGTACAAAGAATACTGAACTTAAACTAAGAGCACTCAAGTACAAATTCTGCCTCTGCCAATTACTACCTGTGAGACTTTATCCAAGCCATTTATTTAATGTTTGAGTCTCCTTATCTTCAGTAAAAGGAGGGGATTAGACTAGGTAATTTCTAAGGTCCTTTCCAGCTGGAAATCTGTGATCCTGGATAGCAATCTTGAAAGGAAGGAAACTTGTTGAACTGTAGGGAGATATGAAGGACTGTGTAAGAATGGAGTCTATTGAATTAGCTTGGTGGAAAGAACTGATTTTATATTTAGTGAAGAGGGCAGCACTTTGCTGTGCAAATAATTATTCAGTAAATGTTTATTGGGTAATCCGAGTGATTTGAGTGGTCCTTAAGAAAGAAATCTAGCCCATAAGCCCTAAGATATCTTTCAGGGTTTCAGTGATCAAAAATACATTTCTTTGGGCAGAGGATCAGTAGGTAAGGCTATTATACTCTGTTTGGACAGAGGGAGAAGAGGGGAGGGGAGAGAAGAGATTGGGTAATCAAATAAGGAGAACTATTTCTTACATGCTGTTTGATGTGCAAAACTTAACACATCAATCAAGAAAGATTGGTAGTAAGCCTACTGTGTGCTATGCCCCTGTGTGTCCCTAGAACTCTGATAAATGCTGGGGATATAAAGAAAAAGTGAAAAAACAGTACCTGACCTCAAGGAGTTTACATTTTAATATGGAAGACAAACAGTACATAAATAGTTTATATATTTACATAAAATGTATGATCTCTATGGTGATAATAAGAAAAACAATAAATATATATTTGGAGCATCTAGCTGGTGCAGTGGATGGTGAACCAGGTTTGGAGTCAGGAGGACCAGAGTTCATATGTGGCCTTACTAGCTGTGTGACACTGGATAAGTTGCTTAGCCAGTTCCTCATCTATAAAATGAGCTGAAGGAAATGGCAAACCATTCCAGTATCTTTGCCAGGAAAACCCCAAATAGGGTCACATAGAGTTGGACATGACTGAATCACCTAAACAATAACAAGCTAGAAAGAGATAATAAAACCCCAACTAGGGGTGGTGGCTATGAGTGGATACAAGGAGGACCCATGTGCAAAATGTTGTAGTTAGAAAATCCAATCCAATAAATATTTATTAAGCTCCTTCTGTGGGCCAGCTAGTAAGTTAAACACTGGGGATACAATTGATCAGATGAAAGACAGTCCCTGTTCTCAAGGATTTTCCAGTCTAATGGGAGGAGACAACACACAGAAGTGAACAAGTTGCAGACTGGAGTAAAAGGTGGAAATGGGAGTGATGAGATGAGAAGAGGGAGCTTGTGCAGCAAATAGCCTGTTCTTAGTACATTCCACACAAAAATACTCAGAGAATAGTGGGAGGGAGTGCTAGGGAAGACTTAAAGAGGAAAGGAAGTGATTTGGAAGAGCAGCTGGGGTGAGAGATAAGGAATAGCATTGCCTTAATGTACTGAAGGCCCAGTTGAAATTAAATAACAGATTTATAGTGGATCCATTCAGCATAGTTCCTTTGTGAAACTTAGGGTATCCACCTTTGTGGAACATTTCACATAATGTCAGATTTTTTAGACATAATTGATTTGTTGATTTTTAAAAATCTTTTCCCTCTATTTTTTAAAATTTTTGATGATTGCTGTTAGAGAATGGTAAAGATATGGGGAAAATCTAGGCAATGTAAAGAGTAAAGATCAATAAAATCTATTTTAAAAAAGAATTTGTTTTTAAATAAGGAAGTGGCATTCTTATGAAACATGCCAAGATCAAGGGTATGACTGTCTCTGTCTTTAGCTGAGAATAAGTGGAGGCGTGGTTGTGTTTTGTGTACTAGTGGCGCCTAGTGGCTCTATTCCTGATTTGTAACTCTACTGTAGGTAGCACCCAGAGAGTCAAATATTATTTCCTCTATTATATGACTCACTCATTAGACCCATATTTATTATACTAGCCTTCTTTTTACCCCCCGCAGCTCTGTCAGCTTACCTCCTTTTGTCTATAGCAAATTCTTCTGCCCTGGAAGATATCTTAAATTTGCTTTCAAAAATTCTTCTTTGAATTTTGTCTTTGTTCATGATGTTACCATTCATTTTGACACTGTTATTTGATGGTGTATTATGCAGGGTTTTATTTTTATTTCATCTTTTCCCCTTGAAAAGATCTTTTGTATTAACTTGAGAGATCATATGTTCTCTACCCTCTTGTTCTTTAGAAATAAAATCAGACCACAATTATAGAGGGTTAGCCATGGAATTGACAATACATTGTAATAGTTCAATGGTTAAATAACAAGAAAAGTATAATGTGCCCAATTTGAGGCAGAGTGTAAATCACAGTGAAATTTGGCTGCAAATAGGGTGGATTCCTGCTAGGATACATTTATTTTTTCTGCACAGGGGATTGCTTGATGTATTCTTTATGCCTTAGAGACAAGAGTTTCAGTCACATTCTGCATTTTAAATAATTTATTTTCATATAATTTCAGGTTGATTTTGTAGCACCATCAGAAAACTGTATGAATTCATTAACCATAAAGCTCTTTGAATCCCATCATGAAGTAACTAGAGAGTGAACCAGCTCAAATTCAACAAGTTGATATTGAGATGACTTTTGCTACATTTCTTCAGCTGTATTGTTGTTATTGTATAAATTGTTCTCCTGGTTCTGCTTGTTTCGTTCTTCATTAGTTTATAAAATCATCAATTTCCTCATTTCTTACAGTGTAATACTACTCTGTCATATTCACGTACCACAACATACTCAACCATTCTTCAATTGTTGACCATCCCTCAGTTTCCTTTTTTTTCCCTACCACAAAAAGAGCTATTACAAATATTTTTGTACACAAAAGACCTTTTCTTCTCTTTAATATCTTTTGAGTATAAGCCCAGCAGTGATATAACTGGGTCAAAGGTTATTGTTTAGTAACTTTTTATGTATAATTCCAAAATGCTTTTCATAATGGTTGTATCCATTCACAGGTCTACCAACTGTGCATCATTTCCTTTATTGTCATCCTGTCTGGAGAGAATGAGGTAGAATCTCAGAATTGCTTTAATTTACATTTCTATAGTTAGTAGTGCTTTGGAGCATTTTTTTCACATGTCTCTAGATAGCCAGATTATCTTCTCTCAAGAACTACCTGCTCATCCGGTGGATCATAGCAGGCCGGTGCTGTCCATGGGGTTGTTTTGCTTTGGTTTGTTATTTCCTTCTCCAGTGGGTTAAGGTAAACAGAGGTTGAGTGACTTGCCCAGGGTCACATTGGTAGTAAGTGTCTGAGGCCAGATTTGAATTAAGGTCTTCTTGACTCCAGGCCCAGCTCTCTATCCACTTAGCTGCCTCCTTCCTTAGAATATTTATTAACTAAGGAATGCCTCTTTTTCTTATGTAAATTTGAATACATTCCTTATGCATCTTGGAATTGAGATCAGTATCAGAAATTTAGCTGCAGTTTTTCCCCAGTTAACATTAATCATCCTTGGTCCAGTTCAAATAAGATTGAGGCCTATGAGATACCAGCTTGCCACCGCTATTTCATCCATGTTTAGATAGTCATCTTCCATATTTAGATGGTTTTCTTTCACACTTCATTAGAATATAAGCACT